GCACCAGCTTTCTCCGCTTATCTCCAGAGCGTTGCTCTGGAGACGAGAGCACCATTTTCACTCCCCTTCCTCCATTCCAGTCCATCACAGGTGCGGGGATTGTGCCTGGGCCCAGGTCCCATCCTGGCAAAACCAAGATCATTTTCCTCAATAAATAAATGAACAAGTATAATGTTTTTGACTCATTGGTTTAATTGGGTTCTCTTTATCTAGTTTTAGGACCTGTGTGGAGAACAGATCATGTTTTAGGTCATATTTATGCTGAAATACTGAAAATTCAAAAGGGTTCACATACTTTTAAGCACCACTGTACATACATACAAAAATGTGCATACTGTCCACTTCAGAGACTCTAGGCAGTTAACAGTAAAAAGAATAAACCCTATACAATAAGCAAGTCCTAATCCCAAATTTTAAAAAAATCCACACCAATACTGTAAATAAAAGCATTTATTAAAAACAAATAAAAAAGCAGCCCATAACCACAATTGTCCAAACTGTCTGCGGAACAATTTTGGTCTTAATGACCATGTGGAAGGCTAGCAGATTGGGGCCCCCACAAAACTCAGGAGGTCAGCTGCCTACATAGTTTGGCTTCTGTATCTTCAGGCCCCCAACCTCTTCACTCCTTGTGATCCTTAGCATCTCCTCTTGGGTGAAAATGCAAGAAGGTAGAATCTGCTTGAAAAAGTTGGTCCTGAAGATACAGAAGCCAAACCATGTCGGGCTTTACAGGTTAATATTGCCACTTGAATTCGACCTGGAAAAATCTACTGGTAGCCAGTACAGCTACCAAAGCACAGAAGTTACACTGGTAAACCTACTCGCCCCATTAGTAGCTAAGCTGCTGCATTTTGGACCAGTTTCAGTTTCCACTATGTCTTCAAAAGCAGTCTAATAGAGTGCATTGTAATAGCCTAATTGCATGGTGAAAACAGCATTATTTATTGGCATAAGGATATCTAAGGCAGAAAAACCTGCAGCTGGCACGCCAGCTATTCACTTATGACACCAAGCATAGAATCCTCCTTTCTTCAGTATACAGCCATTTTTTTTTGGTTGGTAGCACAACCCTTATCTTGATTTCTCCATTAGACATGTCCCAGATGACTATGCATAGGATTGCAACCTAAATGAACTTGTTTGAAAATAATTTATAGTAATTATGTTATTGTACAATGTGATCTTCATGAGGTAATTGTTTCTGCCCTTGCTCTTTGGATTCAATGAATGGTAAGGTAAAGGAACAAATAAGCTATGGATTTGTTTATTATAAGTGCCACATCTTTCATCTTTCTTGATAAGATCTGCAAATGAAAATGTTTTAGTAATTTCTGTACTTTCCGAGCCATGAAGGTGCTCACTGATCTTTATAATTTCCACTTAATGAATGAAGTCATTTTATTGTTTCCACATTCAATTTGTTTAGAGTGGTAACCTGAACTTACTGAGTTCTGGAAAAAAGTAGTAATATAAAACCTCTGAAGGTCTCAGTATCTCAAGAAACATCTGATTAATAGTGGTTCCCACTTTTTATTGTGGTTTAGAGACCTCACATTTCCATCTGCAAAACTATATGACCTGTCCAGGACAGGAGTCTGGCTATAGATTACTATAGAGCTGCAATCCTATATATATTTGCTAGAGAATAAGCAGTCCATTGAACACAGACAGTTTTTCAATAAATTGTAAATAAGAAAGGGCTGTGTCTGTAGTCTCTGGAATCTTAAAGATGAATTTTAAAATCAGAAAAAGTCATAGTTCTGATTTAGAATTTTAAAATAAAGTGGGTGGTAAGCACGAACAATACTCCCATTTTCAGTAAAAACTATGCTTAATTTTTCACAGTATAATGCCAAGTCCTCTGTATTGGCAAATAAAACAGTGCCCTCTACTGATTCTCAATCCAATAATACTGGTAAAACTGGAAAATAGTAGTTTTCGGACTTAAAAATAAAAATACCTTTTAAGACTAATTCTTAAAAATAAAATTGATTCAGCATTCCTTGTAATTAGTCATGATAGGAAGAATAAGCTACAGTATTCTAAATAGCTTCTAACCAGTGACATAGTATGAGCATTTGTTTTAATCAAAGCATAAAAATATCTCTGCTGGATCAAGCTGAAGCCCATCTATGATCCCTGGTTGCCCCCTTCTGCATCTTTCCAGTTCTTATGTGTTTTTCAAATGTGACAGCCAAAACTGTAGATAGTATTGCAGATGCAGAGGTATCATATATTTGGATAATGGCTTTAACTGTTAGCAGTTTTAAAGGTCTTTTCTAATGATCTATAGTATGGAATTTGCCCTTTCACAGCTGCCATGCACTGAATCAAATA